GAAGAAATCTGGTTTGAAACCGCCAAGTCCTATGAATCTGGGATCTCCATGTGACTGATGCAGTAAAAAAAGGAAAAAAAAAATTAAACTGATCAAAACTCCCGGTGGGTGCACATGCGCTCATGGCTACCCACCCCAATGCTCTGAATTCCTCAGAAAAAGACAGACATGCACAGCCTTATTTTTAACATGCCCTAAGCAGGTCAATTGCTGGGCCACTCACTATCTCCATTTGGATAAGACACACTCTCCTCCAACATTCCTGAGTTATTACTTACTAAAATCTGTTTTTTATCTTTGCTGCTCTGGACCTTGCTCCCCCTGCACCTACATGCAGTATCTCCCTCCTGCATCTTTCTGGTGTAGTGTGTCTCCTATGACCTCCTTCTGGTGTAGTGTGTCTCCTATGCCCTCCTTATGGTGGAATCTCCTCTTCCTCCTCTCTCTCTCCCTTCCCAGGAATCCTAAAAGTTCCACCTCTGTCTCTCTGTCACGCCACTGGCTGCTAGTAATTTTATTGACCAGTTAAAAACCAACTGGGGATAGGCTTCCTTTAGTCCTGTGAGACACTGCAAACAGGTATTTTTTGGTAACATAATTAGCATAAGAACACAAGCTGCTACATGTGACAGTAGGAAAGTTTGTGTTAATTAAAACTCAGTTGGGCGTAGATCAAACTTATGAAGTTTTAACTTAGGCAGTTAAAACTGAAACAGTAAAATAGATCCATTCTAAATATGAATTGGTGAAGGAAGATCTAGTTTTTACAGCAGTCTTAGGACAGTCTTTTACACTTAAGGAAGTACTACGTGATGAACCCTTGCCTAGTGTGCAAGGCCCGGGCTCAAACTCAGCACTTCAGAGACAAAGAAATCCACTCAAGGAAGCTTGTCTCTCTGCAGGTCCTGCTTGCCTTTTACAAGAGGCACACATGATGATACATGATTTGTCATCAGTCTCCAAAGATCTACTCTAGCCCTTAAATCAGTGACTTTTAATCTTTGAAAAGAATACATATGTGTAGCTATATTGATTTGGTTTTGCTTTTGGTTTTTTGAGGCAGGATTTCTTGGCCATTCTGAAACTGTCAAATTCATGAAAATCCAGTTTCCTCTGCCTCTCAAATGCTGGGATTAAAGGTGTCCACCACTGCACACATAGTCACATATTTTAAATAATTCACACATTTTAAATACCAATTCTTCCTTAATCTCACCTGTCTAGAATCTTTCTTTTTGCCTTTCACTGTCTTACATGCATATTGTTGTACAGTCATCTATCTTGTAAGTTGCTGTGGCACAGACCATGAGAAACTTAATACCTAGCTTACACATCACTAACTGTGAACTCTTTCTTAACCTCACCTCTCTAGAAGTGAGCCATTCTATCTCTCTTGTGGCATTTCACTCTTACCTGCTTATGATTGTACGGTCATCTATCCTGTAAGTTGCCCCGGCACAGCCCTGAAGAACTTAGGTCTGTGTGTCTCTTCTTGCCCTGTGATAGTGCCTTTCCCACAGAATTGTCTTTGGATACATTTACGAAATGAATGCATGCAAGAAGGAAGATGTGCTGAAGCCCTCAGGGAAAACACAAGTGGGAGTCATAAGAGAAACTTGTTTGGGAGAGTAGCTGCAACTGGAACTCCAGAGACGAGTGCATAGAAGCAAAAAAGACGTACAGGCAAGGCCATTATCCATGACACCAGCAAGCTTCCTCAGTAGTTAGGGGCTCACTAAGCTGTTCAGGCTGGCCTTAAACTCCTTGACTCCCACAATCATCCTGTTCAGCCTCCCAATGCAGGGACCATAGTCATACACCATTCTGCCTGGCCCCAGATGTTCTTCCTTCTCTGTAACTAATGATGGCCTTTTTATAGGAATCTGTGAAAATGCAGCTCATTGCATATCTGGCTTCAGTTTTATCTCAGTATTTCCTTTACTGGCTTCTTTTCATGTCTCTCTTGTCTAAGTGGCTATTTACTTATTCTTGTAGGGTGACTTTTTTTTTTCTGTTTTGAGAGTAGATGCCACTGTGTTGTCCTTAAGGAATCAAGCTGTCACGTGACTATCCCGGGCTCACATGATAATCCTGCCCCATGTAACCCAGTAGCTGGGACTATAGGCATGTGCAGCCCACTCACTGCATTCTTTTGTTTAATCACCTATTTTCTACGGATGACTCAGGTCTAGACCCCTAGTCATTTAAACATCTTGTTTACCAGTCTATGTGTGGAGTAGGCCTTGATACTATAACTCTTGTCTGATGTTTGCCTGCCTATCTACCTGTCTAAACATCCCAAACTAGGTATTTCTCTGAATTTACTTATACAATTTATTTTTAACTTCTCCATGTCTCCATTTTCTTTTCTTTTTTTTTTTTAAAGCAAAATAATGTTTGTACTTATCCCAGAGAATCAACTGTGAGGGTTTTGTAAGAGGCTATGGCAGCCTCTCAGCATAGACTCTGGCACATAATAGAGGCATAATAAATAGTTACTAAATAATGGATCATATTCCAGCTTACCCAAGCTCAAAATATTGGTGTGACAACATATGGCTTGCCCTTCTCATACTCAACTAGCGAGCACTGCTGCTTTCACAAATCAGAATTTTAGGTTAACAAATCTGAGCCGTTTTGTCTTTCCTGCTTCATTAGTTTTTCAGTAGGATATACTATAACCCAATGGTTAGTGAACATTATTTTCCATTCACTACCTCATTAATCCAGAATAGAATCACAGAGATATTCTGATGATTAGTCTCCATTTTTAGATAAAGAAATAGAGCCTTTAAAAGCTGATGTAATTGATTTAGAAGAGAGCTCAGGCTTAGATCTTAAATTAGGTCTTTGGGCTGTTACCCCTGTTACTAATCACTACAAAACTCCATATTCTGCCTCTACTTTCCTGTTTACACACACACACACACACACACACACACACACACACACACACAGAGGGTCAGCAAATGAGATTATTCACATGTGAAACACTTAGGATACTCCTATTTAAGGTTTTAATTTAACTTGGCCAATCATGCAACGAGGGACCAGGAAAATGAGCAGAAACTTGGGTCTTACTCCAAATCAGTGTTTATCCTGTTATACAATGGAATCCTGCAGGTTTCTCTTGATTGTTCTTGCTATCAAGAATTCTCCACTAAATTCCTAACGTAAATATTGCTAATTTTTGTTTGATATTAAATATACACTGCATTGAATGGATATTTTACTTTTTGGTCTTTTTTTCTCTTATTTTTGAGACTGTCTCACTGTGTAGCCCTAGCTGGCTTGGAGTTTACAGGGCAAACCAGGTCCTGGGTACAGGCCAGGTCCAGTCTATAAGCCAATAATTTTTTTAAATTTTTATTTATTTTATGTATATGAGTACACTGTAGCTGTCTTCAGACACACCAGAAGAGGGCATCAGATCTCATTACAGATGGTTGTGAGCCACCATGTGGTTGCTGGGAATTGAACTCAGGACCCTCTGAAAGAGCTACCAGTCCTCTTAACCACTGAGCTATCTCTCCAGCCCAAACCAGTAATTTCTAAGCTTCCTCCTTTAAGAAACCCAGACCAATAATTTTGCTCCTTGTCCCAATTAAAGAGTTGGATCTGAGAAAGGAGAAAATGAGTTTAAGAGGAAGAACAAATGAAAAACTGTTAAGGGGCAAGGCTGGAAGAGTAAACCATTCGGTCTATACAGTTGCTACTTTGGCCTTCGTTAGAATTGTACAGAAGAGAAAATCAAGGTGGAGAGCAAAGTGTAGGAGGAATCTGGTTCCATCTCCGGATCTCCTCCGGCATAGGATCTTCCTTCCTTCCTCCAATCCTCCTCTAACACAAACCAGAGCCAAAGCCGAGGTTGCGCTTCTGCACAGACCACGTGGGCACTGTCCCCGCCCCGGCACCCGGAGGACTTCCGCGTCTTCCCCGGTCCGCCCCCTCCCGGTTCTGCGCACGCGCGGGAGCCATATTCGCCGCGGATGCTTGGCCACCCGTGTTGGTTCTTCTCTGGCTGAGTAAAGCGGCGCTGATCTGCACCCTCACCGTCGTCCTCCGGTGAGGCTCAGTCCTTTAGGGACCGCGGAAGCGAGGTGTCTGTCTCCCGGGCGGGGCCGGTCTGCGTGGAGACCACGGCCCAGGCCCGCGGCCGCCACCGAGGAGTCGTGGGCACGATGACTTTGCACCCGCCTCCTCGGTGACCGGCCTCCCAGGGACTGGCCCCCGCCGGCTGCCGTCGGTCATCCCCGCGCGGCCTTGACGGCCAGCCGGGGCTCTGAGACCCACCGGGCTGGTGAGGGGTGGGGGCGGCCTGCGGCCCGGCGAGTCAGTTCGGGAAAGTGGAGCGGCAGGGAAAGTCCAAATCTTATGGCGCCAGCGGCGCCAGGCGTGGAGGTAGCTGCGTTCACAGGCGAATCCGAAACCAGCCGTGGCCTGGCTGCTGTGCTCAGGGCCACCTTTCTGTTTCTCCTACGTGTGGGAACCGACTCCCGGCAGGTTAGCGCTCCCTTAGGCCTGACGACTTTTCTAAAATGTCAGTTCCTGAGGTCCCTGAGTCCAGCCCTTCGATGGAGTGGGCTTGAGTAAGATAAAGTTGTTTCCACTTGGGCGCGCGGACCCATCAGATGTCTGTTTAGCTTTCCAGCCACGATGCCTTCCTTATATCCCATTATTTGGCTACATAGGAATTAAACTCTGCCATTTTTCTACTGAGGCAGAAGCAGCTTCCATTGCTGTCTTTCGAAGAAACGGAAATGTGGATCAGGTTTTACGCCCCCAAATTTAGGACCGTATGAGACAAAACAGTTTGTATCTTATCTGTTGAATTATCCACTTTGTTTCTCAGCCTGCTCTACTTGGAACGCCCTTCCCTTCACCCCTTCCCTATTCTTCCTGTTCGATTTGAGGCTTTTCGACTTATTTTTGCCTCTCCCATCTCTACTCTTAGTATTTGTATTGGTTTCCTAAAAACTTACTTTCTGGCCATCCTGCTTTCCCTCCCCACCCTCAATGCCTCTTCCATGTTGCTTTATAATATATGTCTGTCACATCTGGCAGCTACATTCTGAGCTCTTCAGGATGCCCTGGTTTACCTTTAGTGTGATGTCCCAACATCTGTATAGTTCCCAGTGGTGGTGCAGTTAGTGTTAGCTGAGGTATGGTGTGGATCAAACGGTATAAACAGTACAAGGCACTTCTTAAAATTGGGGGGTGTTTTTTTTTTTTTTTAACTTTGATGATCATGTTTTCTTTTCACAGGAATCACATAAAGTTGAGAAGCCATGGTGAGTTCATGACACATTTCCTTTAACTTTTGCCCGGTGAACATTACATTACAGCTTGTTTGACATGAGAAAAGTGAAACAGAAGGGGTAGAGAGAGTTGAATGGGGTCTTCCTTATTCCCACTGAACTCAGAACCAGGATCTCATTGTATATGATTCATGGGCTTCTGGAAGTTGACTTACTTTCAGTGAGCAGGCATCTCTCTGTTTTTCTTTTGCAGTCTCGAAGATATGATTCCAGGACCACAATATTTTCTCCAGAAGGTAAATGAGAAACTTTAATCTGCTCCAGAGAAAGTTGGGTTGTTTTCTTGTCATTGTTGCTTTAAGTAGTATATTTTTAGTGTTGGGAGTTTAGTGTGGTGTTTAGCTGCACACATTTTGGAGTTAACTTCATTCTTTTTGTACTTGGAGATAACTTGTCAGCAGGTTGATTACATCATGCATTGTTGGCGAGTAAATGCAGGGCTGTTGATGTGAACCTACCTGTGTCACTGCTGATTTCTCTCGGGTCAGCTGTGCAAGAACACAGAGGAACCGTGGTGTCTCTCACTGTTTTGTAGGTCGCTTATACCAAGTGGAGTATGCCATGGAGGCTATCGGACATGCAGGCACCTGTTTGGGAATTTTAGCCAACGATGGAGTTTTACTTGCAGCAGAGAGGCGTAACATCCACAAACTTCTTGATGAAGTCTTTTTTTCTGAGAAAATTTATAAACTTAATGAGTAAGTGAGATCATGGGGAAGAGTTTGAACTATTGCACTTGTCAGCGTAAGTAGGTTTTGCTTATTTAGGGAAGGAGCTTCTATATGATGTGGGAGAACTGAAGTGGGCAGTTTTATTTATTTTTCTTGTGAAAATTCGTGTATTTCTTTATTTTGCTTGAAATTTCCTTGAAGTCCGTTATGTCTTAGTATGTTCATTATGTGTATAATTCACTTGAAATGCAAAGCTAAACACTGGAGCAAAATAGCATGGTGCAGTGATAAAAGTGTGTATGTACTTTCAGGTCACACAGATTTGGTTTCAAATCTAAAGTCTATCACTACAAGGTGTGGTGCTATACCTATTATCTAACTTCTTGAAGACCAGAGTGGTTGTGGAAATCTAATGAAACAAAGTAGTGAAATAAACTAACCCAGTGCCTAGTGTAATGCAGGCCTTCAGGATGCTGTTTAGAATGACATGCAAGAATTCTGTATAGCTATACTGACTTTTTTTGTTTTTTGTTTTTTGAGATAGGGTTTCTCTGTATAGCCCTGGCTCTCCTGAAATTCACTCTGTAGACCAGACTGGCCTCGAACTCAGAAATCCACCTGCCTCTGCCTCCCAAGTGCTGGGATTAAAGGCGTGCGCCACCACCACCCGGCCTCTATACTGCCACTTTACCAAAGAACAAGGCTGGTGGATATCTGGCACACTTCAGCCAGGGTAGAGTCGGATTTCTGTTCAGTTGGAGTGCTTGGAACTGGCTGTGGAACTTGTTGTTACTGGAAGAGTCGCTGTGCTGTATGGAGACTTAGCCATCAGTGGTAGGCCTGCCGAAGACTTGTCACGGGCGCCTAGTTAATTATTTGTTTATGTATTGCAGTTTTGGATGTGTTCATCAAGCATACCGACTACTCTCACAACCTCTTCCTGCCTTCCTATCCCCCATCCATCTCCCCACAAACCTTACATTTGTGTCTGTTTTGATTCACTGACATTACCAGGGAGTCAGATAGGCTCCTCAGTGTGTACATAACCAAGGACAGTGAGTCTTTCCCAGAATCTATCAGTAACCAATAGGTCCTATATAAAGGGTAGGGTCCATGCCGGGCGGAGGTGGCGCACGCCTTTAATCCCAGCACTTGGGAGGCAGAGGCAGGCAGAATTCTGAGTTTGGGGCCAGCCTCATCTACAGAATGAGTTCCAGAACCGCCTGGGCTATACAGAGAAACCCTGTCTTGAAAAAAAGGGGGGCAGGGGGAAGTAGGGTCCTATGAGCTGCTCTTGGCTAATTATTGACAGGGCTGGTCTTGTCCATGTTCAAATCCGTTGGGAATTTGTGATTTCAGTCGTCAGATGTAGAGAATGTGCTTTGCAGCCCTTACTTACTCTGTCTCCTCTCTGAAGTACTTGACAGCCCTTTCCCACAAAGTTCACAGACCTTAGAGAGGAAGTGCTTGGCCTAAGTGACTTAGGGCTGTCCCACACTGTCATTTATTTCCTGTGTCATGGCAGCCATGAGTCTGCATTTACAGCATTCATTTTAAGTTGAGGCTTCTCCGATTAAAGCTGGGATCCACTTTGGTCTGAGAGTACAAGTGTAGGTATTTAGAAGGCAGTTGGGTTCTGTGTTAATTAGCCCTCAGAAGTGCACTTCCTGCATGAGCCTAGTACCTCTCATGGTACACTCACTTGACATTGTCTCTTCCTCCACAGTGACATTAGTCTCCACTCAGCAACTTCTGGGCTTGTTTAGGCATAGTCAGAGCAATGTCTAGACTGTAGAGAGCCAGGGAAGGCTTTGGGGAAAGACGCAGAAATGGGGTACATGCCTAGGCAACTTGTGAACTTCCCACCCTAGTGTCCCCTCACTCCCACACCTGCCCCACACCTGTCAGGCCAGGCATGGAGAGTTAGACCTTAAGGAGTAGGAGTGGTTTGGCTCCTTTACTTGCTGTTTCTTCTCTTGCTGTTTGCAGAGAGCAATAATAAACACATCTGTTGAATAGTTCAGGCTGCAGTTGTTTATCATTTATGCTGAATGACAGGAGGGAAACGTCTCCTGAGAAGATCCTGTGTTTATAGCCTTTTTCCTCAGAGTAGTCTCTGTGAAGCACAGCTCTTGAATCCCTAATAGGCCTAGGTGCTTTATAACACTTAGAAATTCTCTGGCAAGCATCTTCCTGCTTACAGTGGCTTTCTTTCCCTTCTAGGGACATGGCTTGCAGTGTGGCAGGCATAACATCTGATGCTAACGTTCTGACTAATGAACTAAGGCTCATTGCTCAAAGGTAAGGATGGAATAACCTAACACTCAGCTTGTCTCCAAGGAAAGCTTTTTCTTTTTGTAAAATTTAAAGTCATTTTAAAAATCCATTATTTGAAAAGTCTATTCTTCCTAATCAAAGTTATAACATAATCAAAGTTATAATCAAACGTATAACTGTGTGCACATAAGAGTACTGGGATGGTGAATGTTTTTGCCCTCTCCTCTCTTTTCCAGTTACAAGTGACGGCTACACTTCCCTCATCTTCAGAGAGCGTCTTCCTGCATTGTGTGAAGCCTGTCTAATATGTCAATCTCTTTACCCTAGGTACTTATTACAGTATCAGGAGCCAATTCCCTGTGAGCAGTTGGTTACAGCACTGTGTGATATCAAACAGGCGTATACACAGTTTGGAGGTACTGAGTTTTTTTGGAAATACTCTGAAAAATGAAAACATTTTATGAAGAATAAACTTTTTGCTTTGTTTTGTTCTGCATTACGGTTTGTTGAGGTTATTTTGTTTTTTCAGATTTCTTTTGGTTTTACATTTTTAAGACTATCTATTTATTGGTTTTTTGGTTTTTTTGTTGGTGTTTCCTTGTTTGTTTGTTTGTTTGTTTGTTTGTTTGTTTTGAGACTGGGTTTCTCAGTGTAGCCCTGGCTGTCCTGGAACTTGCTTTGTAAACCAGGCTGGCCTCAAACTCATAGAGATCCTCCTACTTTTACATCCCTAGTGCTGCATGCCACCAACAACTGGCTTTAAACACATTTTTAAAAAATATTTTTGTTCTTTGAAAACTTCCTACAATGAATTTTGATAATATTCACCCACCATTTCCTTCCATATCTGTCCCCTACCTCTCAGCCCACTCAGCTTCCTGTTCTTCTCTTCCCTTCCCCTTTCCCCTTGTACCTCCTTCAGTTAGATTGTGCTGTCCACATACTCTATGGGACCTGCACTAGAGCACTGAAACACTACCGAGGATCACACCTATAAAAAGGCTGACTTCCTCTCCCAGAAGCTACCAGTTGCTAGACACTCCTCAGCTGGAAGAGTGTGTTTGCTGCTGTTCTTGTAGATGTTGTCACTGCTGCTATGAGCTCATGTGCATGGCTGCTCAGTTGTGTTTGGAGAACACTTTCCCTGTCATCCAGCACCTCTGGCTCTTACAGTCTCTCTGTCCCTTCTTCTTCCGTGATCCCCAGTGTTGGATCTGGATGTCCCCTTAAGGGCTGAGCACCCTGAAGTCTCTTATCCTCCACACTTTGTGACAGTCACAGTTTAGCCTGAACTCCTCTGGCGCTCACTGCAGTCCCACCACAGCCTCCTGCACACTGGGCACAGACAGTGCCTGCTTCATGACCAAGTCTGCCTCCACGTGTCAGTCGGCAGCTTCATCAACAGATACTTCAAGGCCAAAGTGACATTTTCACGACTGGAAACAGACTCTTCTTACATAGTAATGAAATTCATCACTGGCCTTCTGTGTCCTCATGTCCACCCCAGCCTGAGCCCAGCTCCTAGAAACAGAATTGGAATCTGTGACTGAGCTTATCTGTGGTGGCCAGAATACAAACCAGTTATGCACGCTTCACTTCTCAGATGCTTGGGGCACGTCCACTGACAGCTCTAAATTGAGATTGTTGATTCCTTTTCTTTGTTAAAGGCAAACGTCCCTTTGGTGTGTCTTTGCTGTATATTGGCTGGGATAAGCACTATGGCTTCCAGCTCTATCAGAGTGACCCGAGTGGGAACTACGGGGGATGGAAAGCCACCTGCATTGGAAACAACAGTGCTGTGAGTAATTTCCTAACACTGTGAAATGTAGGGAAAGGCTGAGAGGACAGTAAGGTTGAAAGAGCGATGCCTGTAGAGTATCTACCATAGCGTCTAACAGCCTCAAAACAACCTCAGTGTGAAGGGAATGCCTGTTTCTAATGCTGTATCTTGGTAGTTTGTTGCTGCTATCTGCAGCTGAGGGCTATTTTTCCATTATAAGTTGTGGAACTCTCAAGGACAAGTCTCTTGAGGCTGAGGCCCCAGTTAAAGGTCCTGTAGAACATGAGTCTCCTTGCCTCTTCCCTGCCCCGTTCATGCCACCTGCCTGCTGTCATCAGTGTTTGTGCTGCTGCAGTGTCAGTGTGAGTCCAGGCGTCAGTGCTTCTCACCGACCTGTGCTCTCCCCACGATGAGCAGATTGG